ATCTTGGAAAGGGGCGGGAGGAGAGCAATAGCTGAAATATAAGTTGCAGAAGTAGGTAAACTTAAACTAGGAAGCACCTTAGGCTGGCATATCATTGGACAAACAATCTCAGTGTTGTAGCTTATTGCTGCTAAGGTTAGGGCTTCATGTTAACAAAGATTGGTTGAAGTGACTTCTGATGCTATCCAGTATGGGCCTTCTAGTATCGTCTATCATGTTGTTTGTAAGATACCAGACACGGCAACGGCAGACATGTTGCCTAGCTCTCATGACATTGCAAATGCTACCCGAGAAATCGTTTCATGAGCGCTCTTAGCCATTTGCTTATTTTTTATGCAACAAACTTACTAAATGTAGTGATTATCAATAACTGCCACAATCAATGGCACAGCACCGCACTGCTATCACCTAACGGATTAAATTGTGCCTGAGATGTTAGTTATACATCTTTGACCTCTTAAGATATTTCACAGATCGCATATCTTCTGTTTATATACCTGTCTATGCTGTGCAAATCTAACATTTAGACTGCCCTCTCTTTTTCAGCTGAGATACGTGCACGTGACTGGTGTAATGTTGTCACATGCCACATGGATACTCCACAGGCATATGTATGGCGTCTTCAGAACTTCGTTATTGGTGAACATGTTTTGACACCATCATCAAGCACTGTGACACCGATTAAGGTAATGCTTGTTTTTGAAGTTTTGCATCTATCGGATTTCATTGTAGACTAGAAAATGTGATTCCTAAAATTCAAGTGCTATTATTTGCTTTTTGAAGCATCATTTCCTTTTTCTGACAGGCTTGTGTGATAAGTGCATGTGGTAATTTTACTATCTTGGGCACTGAAGGTGGTTGGATCGAAAAATTTAACCTTCAATCAGGGTTTAGTCGTGGTTGTTACATTGACACTTCGTTGGCAATGCAATGTGCACATGATGGTGAAGTTGTTGGGTTAGCTTGCGATGCCACAAATGGCTCTCTAATTAGTGCGGGATACCATGGTGATATTAAGGTATGACACTTTGTTGTGCTGTAGTGTGCTTCTTGTTGTGAGCAGGCATGAACATTACGGTTACGGAGAACTGTGCTCTTCATTTTCTGGGTCAACTAGTTAAATTGTTTCCTTGGCATTTACATATTATCTTTCAAAATATTTTAACCCTACAATCAACAATAGCCGTGTATGATCCACCTTTTTTTTTATCAAATTTACTCACTTTTGAACTTTTCTTTAAAAGTCTCAATGAAATTTTGGCCACAATTATATTAACTATAAAATTGTGTATCTTGCAGTTATGGGATTTTAAAACTTGCAAGCTGAAATCCAGATTGGATGTTGGTAAATCTGTCACTAAAATTGCATTTCACCGCCAAATGGTAGTATACTAGTGTTCAACATATTTGGTATTCCCATGAGGAAGTTTTCAGACAACTAACAATTATTTGCTATTTATGGGCAGGTCTTCTTGCTACCGTAGCAGGTGATATGGTACTTATATTGTTTGATACGGTGTCCATGAAAATGGTTCGTAGATTTGAAGGACATACAGACCGTATCACTGATTTGTGCTTCAGTGAGGATGGAAAATGGCTCATCTCGTCTAGCATGGATGGGACTCTTAGGATTTGGGACATAAGTTTAGCAAGGCAGATAGATGCAATGCATGTTGATGTATCTATAACATCTATCTCTATGTCTCCTAATATGGATGTGTTGGCAACCACTCATGTTGATCAAAATGGTGTCTACCTCTGGTAGAGTTCTGTTGCATCACCCTATGCTCAGCCAATTATATCACCCATGCATATCTCAATTCATTTTGTAGCTATATATATAGTTCAGAAAAAAAAATTCATGAGATTGGCCTTCCAGCTGGTGCAATTTGCACAAATATGTTATTCATCTCACTTATAGCCAACGGAATAGTATTATCAGTACACTCTGTTTCAACATATGCACCGAATTAGAGTTGTGTGGCATAGCATGCAATTTTATACGCCGTGATATATATAGTGTTCTTCCAGTTTTTTTTTTCATCTGTGGTCTCATACATGTGTTATAAATTTGACAGGGTTAATCAATCTTTATTCTCGGCCTCAACAAATACTGAAAATTATGGCAGTGGTAAACATGTACGGAATGTGCGTTTGCCAACTGTTTCATCTGCAGAGAGATCCGAGGAAGAACAAGTTCAGAATTCAGGAGAGTCATATAAGTCCAGTATTAAACCTTTTGTCGTAATGGATCATCAAATACCCAATCTAGTCACCCTCTCCTTACTTCCAAAGAGTCAATGGCAAAGTTTGACAAATCTTGACATTATAAAGGTAATATGCTTGTCTTGGTTCTAGCTTTTCAGGTTTCAACATTGCAAAGTTATGAATTATGTGGCCTATACTATATTGATTGCTTAAACCTTATATAAAAGAGCTTTATTGTGTTGAAAAACTAGATTAATGTCCTAACCTTTGTATTATGTCTTTAGGTTCGCAATAAACCAATTGAGCCACCTAAGAAACCTGAGAAGGCACCTTTCTTCTTGCCTTCAGTTCCATCCCTTTCTGGGGAGATATTGTTTGAGCCCCCTGCCAGCACAAAAGAAACAGACATCAGTACCACTAAGAATACATATCACAAGATGTCTGAGCTCTCCTCTCATTTCAGTCAGCTGTTGCAATCTTGTGGTGAAACAAAGGACTGTGAGTATTTACTATTATCTTTACTCATGTAAATTTTCCTTAGTAACACTTGTAAGGCTTAGCTTGTTAATCCTATAAAAAGTTGCTGCCATACTGTCATTATTATTAAATCCATCTTTACTCAAGTAATTTTTCCTTAATAACACTTGTAAGGCTTAGCTTGTTAATCCTATAAAAGGTTGCTGTCATACTGTCATTGTTGTTCAATCCCGTATATCTGATGACTCTAACCATCATATGCAACCAGAAAGAAGGATAAATATCTGGAGATGCATTCTCACTATATTGCTTTTAGAGACTGATGCTCGTGATTTTAAGCACTGACCTCGAATTTGTTTTGCAGATTCGGCTTTTACTGACTACCTGAAAGGCCTGTCACCGTCATCTTTAGATATGGAACTGCGAATGCTACAGATAATAGATGACGAAGAGTCTGAAGATCTGGAGCAAAGACCTGAGCTTCAGTCCATTTTATCGCTGTTGGATTATTTCATTCATGAACTTTCCTTCAGGAATAACTCGAGTTTGTCCAAGCTGTTCTGAAATTGTTTTGAAGGTATATATCTGTGCATTGTTTTGACTGGTTTAAAATTATGTTCAAAGGCATGTGATAATAAGTACATAACATCTTAACCCATCAAGTTTGTACTTAGAAGTCTTTTTTTTTTGGGAAGCAGATACATGGTGAAACAATACGACGTCACTCAATGCTTCAGAGTAAGGTGAAGAAGCTTCTTGAGGTCCAGAGCTTAGTTTGGCAGAAGATTGATAAGATCTTTCAGGGTGCACGATGCATGGTTACATTCCTCAGTAACTCACAATTTTAGTAGCAGGTGATTCCTTGTCATTTGTTTTGTGAAACAAGTTCGCTTCATTTACTGACTGGTTAGATTTTGACCTTCCTTTTTTCTCACAACACTTGTAAATTGTAATGCTTCATTTTTTTGGAGGTAGAATATTTTCAGAGCTCAACTTACCATTGACATTTTGGTTGTCTCAGCGAGCTTCTTTATATATTCTTCTGCAGCTTCGTAATCTATTTTCTTTTGTCCCTAAATAGGCCGGAGCTCCACATACCAGGGCATACGTGGTGTCTAATACCTGCAGGAATTGTGGCCATTGGATTGAGCAAGTGGGTATAGCTTAGTTTTGGAGATGGCAGTAAAACGGATTTGGACGTTCTCAATCATGGCAGTCCAAGCTGTCCGCACAGATATTGGAGCATCGTTGAGCAGCAGCCATGGCTATATACTCTATGCTTACAATTTTTCTGTAGCAGTTACGCAGCAAGGAGTCCACTTGGTAAACATTGATAGCTACCAAAACAGCTCCATCTCGTGATGTAACAATTTTGTAGTTTTACATTTGTGTCATCCTTTTGTAACAAACTGATGTATCAAACACCGTCCTGCAAGAAATGCGGCCTTGTTGGCTTGAACTACTTCAGCAGTACTTTTCAGCGAACGAACGGTATTTTCCTCTCACAGCAAATCAGCATAAACATTAGCATAAGTCAAATTTTAGCGAAACGAACTCGTGAAAATATCCAAAATGTACCCAAGTTTGCAAATATATTAGAAACACTACGTAGATTTCTCCCCCAAGAATCTCTGAAAACAATCACTGTTATGATCTGTTATTTTGTGCAACAATATAAAAAGCAAATTCAAACTCAGATCGTGTTTGAGATTTTGAGATGTGGTTGTGAACAGTGTGTAGCTTTGTTGCGCCTGAATTTTTCTACTCTAACTCACAAATCTAATCGACTTTGCAGCTGACTTTTCCGTGGACCTTCTACATAATCTCACAGATTCCAGTTTTTTATAATTTTGAAAAGTGCTGTTGTACCCGTTCGGCTTATTCCGTATTCGGCTTGTTCGGCTTCTTTTTTCAGCCGGAACAATGTTTTTCTCTCGCAACAATTCAGCCAGAACAGTGTTTTTCAGCCAAAATTCTGCCAGCCGAACGGGGCCAGCGTTTGCAACTTAGATGCACCCGTTTCTAAATACGGGGTGTTTAATGAGAATATACAGTCATGAAAAATGCTGAACAATTTTCAGAGCTTCAGGCTGATAATCAGCTGTGCATACATATGAACCAACATCCAGAAAATGAAAATGTAATGTTGCAAACTTCTTGAATTTCATAACACGGCAGACAATATCATGTGTCATTGGATGCATGTTTCGTATAAAAATTGTGTTAAGAATTGTATGCCCCCAAACAGCCTAACTTAATGACTTGGGGAAGCAATCTTCTCACAGTACATCAGAACCGGTCTTTTTTGTTGCTGATCAAATAGTGACTCTAGAACCCTCATGTAAGAACACAATCAAATCGATACATCGAAGAATCTGGTCTGAAGTACAAAAGAATTCCCTCGAGGATGGTCCAGTGTTAATCCTCTTAAGTAAAAATGCATATAGGATCCTGAGGCTCTCTCGAATGTAATATCAATTTTGACCTAGTGTATAGTCGCCATGTTACGATCTGTATGACTGTCGTTGCAACACACCATGTGTCGTCATGATGTAAAGCTTCCTCTAACCCTAGCTATCAACTTGTCCATCTTTGAGAGTCATTCAGACTTACTCTTCAAGGTGTATACATTTCCAACGACTCCAATGACGCTAACAACTATTGATAGCCCCAGCAACCCAAGTGACAGGAGCCTCTCCCCATGTCCCAAGCGACTCCCTTCCTTGTCCAGCCTCAATGCCACCAGAGCCGGGAACATGAAACCCAACGCCAACCCTGTCGTAGCTCCGGTGAACTTGAAAGCCATCCAGATGTTGGGTATCATTGTCGAGCCAAGGTAGATGAGCGCTAGAAGCACCACTGTCAATGTGAGTGTTTTCTTCCTGCTAGGGGTCGCCAGCTCCCGAAGATCAGTCGTCCACTGTCTGCCTGAGCGAGAAGTGGACAACTGGGAAAACGAGGACCAGGTGGATGACATACCCAATCCTGACAATGTAGTTGAGCAAAGAGCTGAATCTGATCCCAAGATCCTTGTCAAAGTTGGTGAGCACATCGGACTCGGTGTCCTCACCGAACAAGAGATACCCTGAGAGGGCAGTCAGGGCATACACCACTACACATAGCACAGTGCTGATCCTCCCAACCTTGTACATGTTCTGGGGCGTCTTCTCCTTGAGTTCATTGTAGATCGGCTGCACATTGAAATGGCAGATGTAGGCATTAGTCATGATGGGTATCACGACGAGCAGGTCTAGCATTGCTGCTCGCGAGCTGAAATCTGGCCCCATCCTCGGCATACTGATCTTGCCCTCGGCGATCTTGATCAAAGCAATGATGCAGGACACAACCACAAACACAACAGCAAGGGCAACTGATGCGGCAGATGACAAGCTCAGTGAGTCAATCTTCTCAAGCGCACACAATGGCGCTAGGAAGATGACAAGAACCACCAAGATCAGCAGCTTCCGGTTATCCCACTCGCCATGGCCAATCAGCTGATCCATGACACCGATGTGCTTCAGTGACCCTGACATCACGTCCCCGATGATAATCAGATACACCACCAGGACTCCGGCGTTGTTGATGATGACGCACATCTGCGCCACGACGCTCGCCGGCCGGCCCATCGCCCTGTGCACGACCTCGCCGTAGGACAGCGCACGGCAGTAGGCCGAGAACCTCACGAGCAGCTCGACGGTGATCTCGGACAGGACCCCCATAACCAGGATCGAGACGAGCCCAGCGGCGACGCCGAGCACCTTCATGGTGGCCGGGAGCGCCATAATGCCGGCCCCTATGATGGATGTTGCGAGGTTGAACACGGCGGCGGGCACGCCGGACCCCTCTGGCGGCCCGGCGGGGCCGTCTCCGATCAGCGGCAGCTCGTCGTGCTCCCCGCCGCCGTCCTCCACCTCGCCCAAGAACGAATCTTGCTTGGAGATCTTAGCGTGGCCGTTGAGGACGCCATTGGCGGCGGCGCTAGATTTGGCCCCGTTGGATTGGAGCTCGATGGAGGGGGAGGTCAATGGGAGCGCCGAGTAATTCGTGTTCATCTCCCCTCTTGGCGCATCAAAGATGGATCAGAAAGCCAAGAGGTAGATGGAAAATTCTTGGCAAGACCGGATACAGGAACAAATTGCGCCGAGAATAGAATCCGAATGCCTGAATCACCCACGAATGGAAGGAAATTCGCGCCCAATCTACAACTAAGAACACAAAATCGCTTGCTGTAGAAAGGGGAGGAAAGAGTTCCTATCTAGCAGCAGGGGGTTGGAAACCAAAACAAAATATATTCCCTGCGGAGGAGATTGGGGGATACAACGGTGGAAGAGATGAATCTTGGTGAGCACCAAGGGCTTGGGAGTTGGGAAGCACCAAGGGGGGTGGACTGAGAGGGAGGATTGGGGCGTTGAACTGCGGCTAGAGATCTGAGCTTTATCTCTCTTGCATACCATTTGTATATTTTTTTTAATTTTAATTTACTTCTGCCACTCCTTCCCGTGTTCTTCCTTCTCTCGGATGACGCGAAGAGAGCACAGTCAATTTACGTTAATTCCGAGTACGGATGGCTACACCAACCATGTGACTCGCGTGTTCTCCGCAGATGTTTATGACGTGTGGGTCCAAACAGAAGCGGGGCCAAGTGACAGTGAGGGGGTACTCCAGTGATTCATAAGAGTTGTCTGTCTTGGGCCCACGCGTTCGGCCACATGGGCATTCGACGCGCGGATACAGCTCTCCGATCTGATTGGCCGGCAACCTGAAGTCGGAGCGGGACCCATTTGCTGGCTAGTTGTGCCACCTACTACAATCTGCCCCACCTGTCGGTGACCAAAAATATCTTTCTCCTGAATTTTGTAATTTTCGTATAAACTTTTCGAAAATAAATTGAATTCCAATTTTTTTGTTTCCATGCTGTTTTAGTTTTTAGTTGAACATTTTTTTCCCTAGAGTACGGTTAACAAAAGTGAGTATTTAGGTTGCCTTGAAACCTTCAAGTCTTCCATTGAAATAATATCTTCCTTTGACCCGGTACAGCTCGAAGTTTCTTCGCACACAAAATATCAATTAGCTTTGTCTTGTTTGACTACAAGTACAAAGCATGTGATAGATCACTGACAATATCAAGTTGTGATGTGGAACTGTACGTGTAGATTCATCTCGATTTTTTTATAAGAAAGCTTTTATATTATATTTTATAGATTCAGACATAATCTTCATTTACTCCCTCCGACAAAAGTTGTCATTCTATAAAATTTCAGAAATATTAGCAAATACTAGCGTGGAACTCAATGACCCAGGCGTCTCTATTTAGAGTTCATTTGAACGCAGGAATTATATATAAATTTTACATAAATTAGTTCAATTACGTAGGAACAAAAAAAAATTCTCACGTTCTAAACAGGCCCAATAGACATCTATAAAAAAATTAGTTGTTACATGGGTAATTGGCTCAATAATTGTCCATACATATATAATTAAGGCAAATAGATAAAAGGTGAGCCTTTTTTTTATTTGATATACATGGACCTCACTAGTAGCTGTCTAAATCTACAATTACAAGTTTTGTTGACCAAATTTTGAATACTACAATGATCTTTTTTTATAACTAGCAAAAGTGCCCGTACGTTACAACGGGAGGAAAGATATAGTGGTATCTAAGGTTTTGATATCTATGTGCTCTATAATTTTTCATTTACATCATTATGTTTTTATTGCACTCGACTTTATGCTTAAAAAAGTATATATAAATAATTTTAACTCAATATATTTTTTTCTACCTAAGTAATCAATTGCATCTATGTCATAGCGCAGGCAAACATGAAGGGCTAGGGGCGCATGTTTTTACTTCCACTTCCAATTATAGCATCAAAGAATCCACAAATATAACGGAGCATACTGCATACCAGTGAATTTACATAGTGTCAAACACTTCATCGGGCAATTTTTGTTAAAGTCGAGACCAATAGCACACAATTAATCAACAAGGAAACATAATACCCTTTCTTTTTTTTCTTTTTCTTTTTCTTTTTTTTTCTTTTTCTTTTTCTTTTCTTTTTTCTCTTCTTTCTCATCCTTATCTGCTAGCTCGGACTCGGAGTCAAGTGGCCTCATCCACTTGCACCCCGAAGCCTCCAACTTCGTTTGCATGAAGCCTTGCCAAGGCGGCCACGGAGCCCCGACGCGACCACGCCCCGGTAGGTCTACGCGACGGCGTCCCGGCAGCCTAGCAGGTCCATGCAACGGAGCCCCGGTGGCCTCAAGCCCCAACGACTTGGCAGCCTCGCCCGCGTCGCCGTCTCCTCGACCTCGCCCCGCGTCGTCGCCGTCGCACACCCTCGCATCGGTCTCGCTCATGTCGCCGTCTCTTCAGATTGCCCCTCTATTGCTCGACCTCGCCGTCATCTCTGTGCCTCACACCATCGTCGTTCCGGCCTCAACATCTTTTCGTGCCGCCTCACCGGCGCTGATATGTTGGTTTAATTTGTATTTTATTGGATTTCTCCTATTGGATTCATTTTTATTTATTGATTCGTTGAATTGTATTCGATTTCTCCTATTGGATTCATATGTAGAGTCCATCACGTTGGAGGTGGGGACACAAACCAAGGAAAGGAAAATTATTAAAGATTGGATGCAAACTGAATAGGATATTGAAAAGAGGATTACCAGACAAAAAACAAGAATCCGAATAGAAATCAGAGTTGGACGAAAAAAATTTATGACATAAATTTTGCCTCTTTATTATTAGATATAGATATAGATATCACCGAGGGGGGAGGGGGGAGAGGGTCCCCACCTGTATATATTTCAGCTTGGCCCCAACGGCCTGAAATCCCAAGAGTTTCATTTTACATCGTAGTTGAGCTTCATTGCTCAGAGACTTAAAACTTATTACACATTAGATTGATTAGCACCGGAGCCTTGGTTCATGATTGTTGTAAACAGTGAACACCAGACGTTAGGTGTGCTTCTTGTCTCCGCCGGCAGCCTGCAGCTCCAGAGTTGCGCTTCATTGCTGCATAAATTCAGGAAGCGTCTCATTGTCATCGCTTCCCTTTGGAATACAAGCTCATTCCTTCTCTTCCATAAGAGCCAGCAACATAAGGCGACAAAGCCATCAAAGTGTGCTGCCGGAATGTTTTCAGGGCGTGCAAGCATGTGAATATCCTCCACAGAGTTGATGTTGTTTGTCTGCACCTGGAGCAACTCCCAGAAGACCTTTGCAAAGGGGCACCCAAACATGATGTGCCATGCCGTTTCGATCTCTTGTGAGCTTCACATGTATCATTGTCAGCTACCTTTTTCTTGAATAAATTCTCTTTGGCCTGAATTCTGTTGTTGAGCAAGAGCCAAGCCAAGAATTGTACTCTGCATGAGGGCACGGCTTCCCCAAATAAATTTGGCTCGAGCATCCTGCTGCTGTCCTGACTTGAGCAGTAATGATCAGTTTTTTTAGGACAAAGGATGTAAATAAATGTTGAAACATTTATTTAAGGAATATTTCCAAATATCACTTCCCAGGAGGTGTTCGTGAATTTATTCTCCAAGCACTGAAGTGTGTGGTTCTTGGCTTTGTACGACACTGTAAAGCTGACAAAAAAGGAAAATTATCAAGAGCCAAGACATCCTAACATCAGATGATTTTCTTTGGGCCTCTGAGTTTCTTGACCTGCAATAAAAGAACAGGTGCCTTTGTTTTCTGAGCACTCTAGCCCACGCTTCCTGAGATTTGTTTGCCAAAGATCATAAAGAATGTCATCCTAACAATTAAACAATTCTCCTCTGGACCTCTGAGTTGCCTTGATTGGTACTAAAAGTTAAGTGCTTTTTCCTCTCAACCTCCAGCAGATTGTTTGTCACACCAGAGCAATAGTACTTCGAGAAAAAGTTGCTCGCACGCCTACATTTCAAGATTACTGCACCATTCTTGTTATAGACATTTCAAGCAAAGCTCACTGTCTCAAACGTGTTTCCTTTACTAAGGCCATGTTCCTTGGCTTATGAGCCGTACTTTTTAAGCGAACGAACATTGTTTTTCTCTCACAACAAATCAGCGAACAGTACTTTCAGCCATGGCTTTTTAGCGAATCGAACAGGGCCTAATACTGAGAAACCTTCTACCTTCATAATCATCCTATATAATTAGCGCCGGAGAATGATCATCTCAACCTGCTTTACAAGGAGCCTCTGCTGTAGGATCCATGGGATAGTTAATACATAGTGTTGGTCAGTTGCCACTGTGCCTCCAAAATTGCGCTTTTTCTACATCAGACATAATTATTGGAGGGGGACATCATGTAGCATAAGCTGGGAAATCATGTAGCTCATCCCGATCGGGAATGATGGAAATCCGCGCTTCTTTTGGAAGCGAGTCATCCTCCATACTGGATTCTGTTTTAGCAGGCAACTCATTGCAGTGGATGGAGAGAGTTCGTTTTTCTTGCTGGAACAACCTGCAAGCAGAACAAAGATAGTGAGCTTAGTTACTGCAAAGATAGAGATGAATGCTAGCACTAACGGGTTTTTGCAAAGCATCGGACTCTGAATTGTTACAACATATTTGCAGGAAGAGATCTCCTTGACTGAACTAATAAGTACAGTAGGCCCCGAGCAGACAAATCTAACCTGTAGAACAAAGGCAGGGTGTGCACAGTCAAATGCACTGATATGGCAAGTATGTGCTTTACTTCATAGATTTATATGGTCTTCTATTGTTTCTTTCTCACCTCTGTCTCCCGGGGAATTTCTGTGAGATCACATACAGTCCCATTTGTATACAAGTGAACATGATACCTGAAACAAAGCGGCAACAGAAGATATTCATTCAAGACTGAGGAACATATTATGTTGTTTCTCTCCCCACTTTCAGGAGAGCTTAGTACAGCACCTCTTAGATATATCTTTCACGTGATGAACATCGTCAGCTAACTCAGAGGTGCTATTTTCATGGTGGTATGCAGCAGTCGCGTCATCATCGAATTTGCCTAGAACAAATTCTTGAATAACCTTCAACAAAATAAACACAGTTTACACAGCCATGCTGTAGCTC